TAGACATGTATTAAGGCGGTATAATCTCATCAGAGAGATAATACATAAAAATAACCTAAAGAGAAGAACAAATTCCCACAATTGACAATATTGTAGATGCACTGACAAAGAGTTATCACAGTATAAACATGATCGTCATGTGGACTCTTATGATATTGGATATATAAGTGATTGAATCTAGTGCAAGTGGGAGTTTGTAAGTGTTATGCCCTAGACCAATCAACCTTGAACATAAATACTTTTAATATATAGTTGATGCGATTTATGACAGATCTATTATTTAATTAATACTCAATTAAATTAAATAATGGAGTCCGTAGATTCAAATCTTAATAATTTGTTAATTACAAAGAGTTGTAATTGTGAGATATAAATTACACATGATTGAATCTTAAATCATCTGTGGTCATAAGTATTAACGAGATACATGTATCGTTATTATGGATAGACCATCGCGTGTGGTATTTCTTACTTGTGAAGTCGTAGATCTCACAAGCTAATGTAGGAGGATCCGAGTCGAGTGATACTGATTTGTCAGATTGCACGATGATAGCGTTGAGATACCATGAGATGGCGGATCGGCGCAAAGATGGAAAGTGAATTGCAATTATTTCCTTAATTGGGTGAATTTGACGTGTCTTAGGTTATTTTACCATAACTTTGGCTACGGCTATCGAAATCACTATTATGACCCAAATTCGAAAAGTTCTCTTCGGCGCACACGTCGTGGCCGTCGAGCTACGTCAATTTTGAGCCCAAAATCCACTGTTTTTCTTTCCAAAATTCAATTTTAAATTATTTTTTGCTATTTATGGTAATATTTCGTTTCCCTTTTTCCATATATTAAAAAACTCGAATTGAGCCAAATTTTTGGCAACCTACTTCTTTTACTTAATATTTTATTCTGGTATAATTTCGGGATTTTGCCATTTTTGATAATTTTCCCATAATTTCGTATTTCGCAGCTATTTAACCTCGCTTGTGGGTTAATTTTGGTTATTTTGCATTATTAATAATATTGAGTTGATTTCAGAGTATTTTCTCTGATTTTTGGGTGTTTTTTGTCATTCATTTCTTGCAAATCATCTGTTACAACAAGCCAATAGGATAATCACTATCCTACCTAACGTCACTAAAGTGTGGTGATACTTAAATGAACATGTGAATTTTTTGTTGTAGAACAAAACATTGGAGACCCGCTGAGAGATTTCACATGGATAACTATCTGAGTATCAGTAGTTAAACCAGTCGATCACACAAGTAAAAAGGCAAACCTATGGATCTTGTTATAGCAAGAATCTCTTCCACCCTTTCTCCCTGGAAGATTATGATTCTTCAACCACCATTCGTAATTCTTTCTACTTCATCACCTCTATTATGCTGGGGAAGAGGGAAAAATACAAAATTTAGAGAAAATGTAGAAAGAATGGATGCTGATAACGAAAAATAGGACATTAAATCTATGTTCTTGAACATCTATATATGAGCAAAAGACTTTCAAACGTGACTACTATTGCTAAAAGCAAGAGCAAACTAAAGATTGACCTAGCTGTCAGAGTCGGAATTGAGATTTTGGTTGCCCTGTGCGAAATTTTAAAATGGTGCCCCCTTCAAGTAAAACATATATTAAAAAAAATATTTCAATAATATTATTTATTGCAAAAATATATATAATTTTTTTTTGTTCTTACTTGAATATTTTATATTCAATTGAATATAATAAATAAAAAGCATTTTTGTTTTCAAATCAAATCAATCATTATTTATCTATAATTCGTTGGAACAAAAAAAAGGGTCTAGCTAGGTACTGACCAGGTCAGGCCATCAGAATAAGAAGGGCCTTTCGAACAAAATTCACACTAAGATGTCTTCTTCTTCTTTTTTTTTTTATTTATAGGCTCGTTCGAGCCCTTCCTTTATCTAATTATCTAATCTAAAAGAAATTCCTGACTTATATATATATAAACATAAATGAACAAGAAAAATATAAATAAAGTTCAAAAGCATTTCTCAAACTCCATCAAAATTCATATGTCATCAACAAAGAACCATCCAAGTCACTAGCCTCTTCGTGCAATTCCATATAAGCAAACTTTGAAAAAATATATATATCAAGTGTAAAGCTTGAAATATAATAAATCATGTAAAAACATTTCAATAATATTTTTAGAAGCAAACTCGCTAATTAAATTTTTGGAATCAATATTTTCTAGAAAATCTTGCTCATTAGATATCAAAGCTAGTCCATTCAATCGTTCTTGCAACGTGGCTGATCACAAATAAGATTTTAACTTCAATTTTGAAAAAAATTCTTTCAGGAGATGCAACAGTAACAGGAATTGTCAATAATATTCTATAAGCAATACATGTATTCGGAAAGCAATCCAATCTTTTCAAATAAGTCAATATATCAAAAATCGTCTTTATTTCTTTTGGTAAAAGATTTTGCAAAACTTTTAACTCTTGAAATAAATCTTTGCAATTAAGATTGCAAAAATTTACATATCTTAAAAAAATATCAAGATGATCACAATATGCTTTGAAAATAGCACCATCCAATGAGTTTAACTTGTTAGAAGAAAATAGAAATCCAATTATTTTTTTTTCATATGAATTGAATTGATCAAACCTTCGTTCAAGTGATCTAATTGCTTGATTTACTATATAAAAGAAATAATTGGTTCTGAAAGAATCTTTAGGTGATTGTGGATTATCTATAGTAGCATTTTCATCTACTGTATAAAAGGAATAAATGGTTTCTCTCTTCTCTGCCTCGATTATCTTTGAGGCAATTGGAAAAGATGGTTAGTTTCTTTAACTCTTTTATCCAAAAAGACGATTGGAAAAACCAGTTGCTCAATTTTTTTTTCTTCTCTCAATTCGCTGGCCGACTTCATCTCTTTTCGACTTTTCCCTTTTCCCTCACATTATTTAAGATAGGAGTATTATTTAAGAATATTATATTCGAAAAAATTATAATTAGTTAGTTTCATTATTTTTAATTTTAATATATTATGCATAATAATAAAAATTTTATATTTAAAATATTTAATTATATATATATATATATATATATATATATATATATACAACTATAACAAAAAAAATTTTTGGTGCCCCTACGTTTTTGAGACCCTGTGCGGTCGCTCAACTTGCGCATCCTCAGGGCCGCCTCTGCTAACTATATAGAAAGTAGGTACGAGTCATAACTGTGTTCAGTTAAAAAAGGAGGTAAGTCGTTAAAGAAGGATGTGGGTAGAGGGAAGGCCATCATCTATCATGTACACTAGACAATAGTCTCATAGAAGGCAACTTAAAGAGAAAAAAAGTCGACTAAATTTGGACAATTTGACAGCAAGAATAAAAGAGAAGTTGAAATAGACACAGATTATCACTTTTAGAATGCTCTTCAAAAAGAAATTATCTGATTTCCGATTAGAAAAATCCAATTGAATTACAGGATCCACGAACAAGACTCAAATGTTATAATGATCAGCCATTATAAAACCCTTGGGGACCCTGCATTTGATAACTAAATTCAAACTTCCTTGAAGACATAACTCTTTGTTTAATTGAAATTTTGATGCCCTTGGAACTAGAGTTTATTTACTATGACAAAATGTTGATCATGAAATTTCAGCAGGTGACCCAATATATGTTCAGGAATCAAGATGAAAATACCGGTGAAGCCAAGTGAAAAAAAAAAATTTTTGGTGCCCCTACGTTTTTGAGACCCTGTGCGGTCGCTCAACTTGCGCATCCTCAGGGCCGCCTCTGCTAACTATATAGAAAGTAGGTACGAGTCATAACTGTGTTCAGTTAAAAAAGGAGGTAAGTCGTTAAAGAAGGATGTGGGTAGAGGGAAGGCCATCATCTATCATGTACACTAGACAATAGTCTCATAGAAGGCAACTTAAAGAGAAAAAAAGTCGACTAAATTTGGACAATTTGACAGCAAGAATAAAAGAGAAGTTGAAATAGACACAGATTATCACTTTTAGAATGCTCTTCAAAAAGAAATTATCTGATTTCCGATTAGAAAAATCCAATTGAATTACAGGATCCACGAACAAGACTCAAATGTTATAATGATCAGCCATTATAAAACCCTTGGGGACCCTGCATTTGATAACTAAATTCAAACTTCCTTGAAGACATAACTCTTTGTTTAATTGAAATTTTGATGCCCTTGGAACTAGAGTTTATTTACTATGACAAAATGTTGATCATGAAATTTCAGCAGGTGACCCAATATATGTTCAGGAATCAAGATGAAAATACCGGTGAAGCCAAGTGAAAGAGATTTTAATCTTCAAGATAGAAGGGCAAATTACAGATCTTACACAACACCAACGCATGCAGGAAAATTGCACTGCTTCTCTAACATGTGAAAAACAAGGATTTTGCGGTTTTGGAATGTTTAAATCTTTGGAAGACCTTTCAAAGCAGGACTTTTTCATCATTATAAACAATGTTTGAAGTGAACTAGTAACTGTGTGTTGTTGACCATTCCCCGAAAATAGTATTAGCAAAATGAGAAATCACTTCACAAGCATTTCCCTCGTGATTGCTTGGGACAAAAGCTTATGTGCATGGCTAGGCACTGAAATGCATGCCTGTGATTAATTATAAAAAATCCTCAACAAGAAATCTAGATATTTAATTGCATTACCAATTATCAATTATACCTTCCCTGTAGGCTAAGGATAATGTCACTTTCTGTCTACATTTCTTACTAAGTTCTGGATTAGGCACTGCATAGTAACATTCTTTTCTTTATCTCCACAACTAAACTTCAGACATTAGTTTATCATCTTTGACCCAGTTATTAATTTTCATGCTTCTCTCTTCTTTCCCCCTCTTCAATAATTTCGTTTCATGTTCTTTGTTTCCTACATCAATAGTGTTACAACATAAAGATGTAGCCCATGACAGAAAACTCAACAGGGCATGGGCATAATAATTTGTTACTATAAAAGTCAAACTGAATTCAGAAATGCTTGACAAGAAATAATCTGTCTATACCATTTATTGAAGTTTCAAAATACTAGCTAGCTGATAAAGGCAAAAGTTAACACATAGTTAACATGTTCATACAGATGAATGAAATTCAGCAACTCTACTAGTGGGCTAATGAGAAAATATAAACTTTAGATGCTGAAATGTATCTATATAAAAGAAAAAGACCTTGTGAGTTGTGATCCCTGGTCAAGGAATTTATTTGGTTGCCCCGTCAAAGTACTGCCATTTAATCTCCACAATTGGAGGCAATGATCTGGCAAGCTGACACTATAATAACTAATGCTGTAGATCCAACAGTTTATGGTGCTACTATGCCATTTTGGAGTGCATTATCAGCTCTGGTAAAAGCCCTTGAAAGAACATGTTCCCACTTCTGACTCCTTCCATTCACATCATTGTTTTGCCTCTCCCATTCCTCTGCTACAAAGTCATGAAGTCTGGCTGTACAATAGTTACTTACCAGCACACCTTTCAGATAAGATAAAAAGGGTACTGAATTTGATATAACCTCTGATAGGAGTGGAGATGTATGCAAATATTTTCCCAAAATGATGCAAAATTTCCACAACAAAAAGGTCTTCGTCATAAAACTGTTCCAAAAGTGATTGTGAAAACTGAAAAGTTGCAAGATATTGATCTTCCTTCTAGGAAAGAGGAATCTTCACACTAATCATGTTTCCATTTTTTATTCAACTAGAGTATAAAAACCCCTAAAGTTCTCTAATTGTCACATCTCACAGAAATTTGAGCACTTGTATTCAAATAGTTGATTATTATTTGGGCCGGCCATTTACCTCCACATTGTTACCCACGACAACACTTAATCTATTTAGGAAAATATAATTGTCGATATATGCCTATGACCTAGGGGGAACACGGTTTGGTTTGGGCGGTTTGTATTATATTTTCAACTCAAACCATTTCATGCGGTTTGGAATTAAACCAACCCAAACCATTTTATTTTTCAAACCAAACCATTATTTCCGGTTTGATTCGGTTTTAATCCATGGTTTTTCCATCGACGTTATAGTAATATGTTTAAAACAAGTTAACATATAAATTTAAATGAGAACCAGTAATGTTAAATATTAAATTACATTCATATTTGTTTAAAATTCGATATATAAACAAAAAGACAAAAATATAGTATTAAGTTAGTATTTAGCAACAAGCACTCCACTCAAACTTTTACGAGCAATAATATCATAGTAAGTACAAGAGTACTAACCTCTCATTTGATAAAAATTGGATCAATATCCCCCATTGTAACACATGATTCGACTTCTGTATAATATGCAAATATCAAAATATTTATTAGTCCTTAAGAATAATTTTAACAAGAAACTAAGAAACAATATGCATAAAAATGTCAAAATTGATAATAGAAAACAAATGTCGCCTTCTATAGCTTTCTCCGAGTCATTTAATGCCTCTACCTCATCCAAATATTGACAAAGCACTATAGTTTCATTGCTGCTATGCAACCAATTCTTCGTGCATATTAAGGCATCAACCATCTGTGCACTCAATGAACTCCTAAATGAGTCAAGAATCCGACTACTCATGGAAAATGCCGACTCTGAAGCGACCGTGGATATTTGAATTGCTAATAAATCTTTGGCAATTTTGGAGACAATTTTATACTTGTGCTCATTCAATTTCCACCATACTAATATGTCAAATTTGGGATTGGTCAAATCTTCACAACGATCAAACAAATAATCAACCAAATCATTCTTCTCAGATTGCATGTTTTGCGTAAGTTTAGCTTTAAAAATAGAAGGAATCTTTTTAGAAGGACCAAAAGAAGGCTGTGAAGGACTTGGACTACTATTTTTGGTACTCTCCTTTGATGAAGCCAATGGTGGAGTGATCGGCATTGCCATTTCTTCATAGCATGCATACAACCTGTGGAGTGTCTCTTCAACTCTTTTTAACAACATTTTTACAATTTTTACATCATAAATTAGTTCAAACCCGACTTTAAGAAGTTCTAACTTGCACCTTGGGTCAAGAACTGTTGCTACGAACAACAACTGATTAAACCTTTCAACATTGCCCCAATACTTATCATATTTTTTCCACATACTAATTGCCACGGATCCCATCAAAGTGTTAGACTCTTTAGCTAATTCATTCAACTCTCCATGAATTTCACATATTTCTTGAAAGAAAGAGTTAGAAGTTACATACTTCGAGCCACTAAATTTTAAATTCATTTCATAGAAACTCCTCAAGAACCTAACAAATACTTCTACTCAATCCCAATCGACATGTGTTGGTGGTCCATTTATATTTCTTCCATCGAATCTGTTTTCATTAAAATAGTTTGTGTAGTTTCCATCGCTTTTCAAACCAACAAATGCTTTTTTAAACTTCGTAGCAGCTTGCAATATCAAGTATGTGGAATTCCATCTAGTTGTGACATCCAAACACAACAAAGCTCGTGACTCAATATTTTCTTCCTTGCAACTCTCCTTGAACCTTTTTAGTCGTTCTGGAGAAGATCTTACAAACCTCACTGCATTACGAATAGCTAAAATAGCATAGCTTATTTCTTTCAAGTCATCACAAGCAATAAGATTGAGTATATGAGCACAACACTTCATATGAAGCATTTCTCCACCCAGTACTAGACCATTCTTCTTCTCTTTAAAGTAACTCTTCAATCTCAATAATGCTATATCGTTGGAAGAGGCATTATCAACAGTCACACAAAAAATCTTATTAATTCCCTAGTCTTTCATACAAGAAATCAACTCATTTCCCACCATAGCTCCCTTATGGCTAGGGACTTGAATGAAACTTATAATCCTTTTTTGAAGTATCCAATCATTATCAACCCAATGAGCAGTTAAACACAAATAACTAACATTTTGTATTGACGTCCAACAATCAGTGGTCAAACAAACTCTATGTTGACTCGACTCTTTCTTTAATTTCTTCTTCTCAGTTAGGAACAAATTATATATATCTCTTGCTACCGTCATTCTTGAAGGAAATACAAATTTTGGGAAAAAAATATCTTGTATAAGACTGAGAACCTTCATCTTCCACATGTCTAAAAGGTAACTCGGACAATATAAAGGACCTTGTAATCTGTTTTCTAACCTCTCTTTGAACAAACTTGACAGATTCTTCATGCCTATCAATATCCTTAGAATGCTCACCAGTTTTAAACATACTATAACCTGTCATTCTCTTTTGCTTCTTGTCCTGAACACTCTATGATACTTCTTGCACAAATGCGTGATATGATTCCACAATGTACTAGTTCCGCAGTTTTTTGCATGATGCTTATATGTTTGTCCACAATAATTACATTCTGTCTTCTCATCTTCTCGAATTTTAAAGTGATCCCGCACCTTAGACCTTTTGTTTTCCTTTTTACCTTTTCCATCCATTTTCATATATTCAGGATCATCCTCTAATGGAATTGCATTATCAACTTCTTCAAAAGTTGGATCCATATCTGAAATATGTGATGTAAATATTAAAATTATTTTATTGAAATTAAACAATTAACAATATTTACCATACCAATAATGTATAATGCATGCAAATAGACAACAAACAACACAACAAACATCTCAAAACTACAACTAGTTGGACCGGGAAGCAGGTATTAGCAGTTTTAAAAAACCTTTTAAGTCCCAAAACTTGTCCATTAGTTACCCATATAATAACCCGTCTGGCCTGATGACTTTTCCCTAAAATAGAATATCAAAACAGAGAATATAGGCCTAAGAACTTTAGCAAGAATCGGAAGTTTAAAACATATTCCATACAGTAATGCTATAGCCAATGAGCACGTTTCACACAATAATCAACATTATGGGACCATACACCCCAATTTCAGGACCCCTAGACACAATCTTGTTTGATTGAATCCACTAATAGTCTAATATGTTACAGAAAATTAAAATAAGATTATACCCACCAAATATATAATTAGTTAACAAGATTAGGTTGCCTTTTACAGTTCTCCTTGTTGAAAAAATGAATAAAGGGAAACGGTAAAACTGGTTTAACTGGATTTCGGTTCAAGCGAACTTAGAGATCTTAATACTAATAAATTTACTTACGAAAAGGTCGACAAGCGGAGGTTGAAAATAGGTCGATGGGCTAGCAGAGGACAGAGGTTGTGTCGGCAAGTGTCAGGTGACAGCGAGCACAGCAGGTCCGGTAGCAGCGTACAATGAAGATAGGGTTTTGTTTGCACTTTGCAATTGTTTGCTAAATTGCTAATAGCAGGAATGTGTGGCTAGGTGTGCTGTACAATCAGACAGGTTAATGGGATTGTTATATGGGCTTGGATATTCTTAATTCTAATGGGCCAATTTATTAAAAAAAATACGAAAGCAAATAATAATAATAATAATAAATAAATAAATAAATTCTAAAAAATTATACTTTAATAAAAATTTATATATGATAATTTACAATTCGTAAAAAAAATTAATTAAAAAGTGTGGTTCGGTATGGTTTTGTGTGGTTTTTAAAATTTGAAATTTAAACCAAACCATTTTGATACGGTTTGAGAGGAAAAAAAATCGTGGGTCCACGACCAAACCAACGACTTCAGTTCGGTTTGCGATTTTGTAATTTTTTTGTGCAGCCCTACTATGAGCATTGATTACAGAATATCTGAAGATATGCACAACTATAGATGCAACAGAAATGAGATACCAGCTAGACTTTTAGAGAGTTCAACAATAGTTACTATAAAATAGGAGAGAATCTTCAGTGGGGTGGGTGCACCATCCACGTCGTGCCACCGCCAAATGTCGAGACGCCACCTCGACGAGTGACCCACACACCTCGGTTGGTGTGTGGTGGGCCACCCGCCGAGGTGACTCAACCTGATAAGGCGATCGCACCATGCCCTATTGAAGTTTTTTTCATGAAATAGAAGTGGTGATGGTGGCAAAAATGGGAAGAAAACACAGAAAGAAATGTTAGGAGCCAAATTTATGACATAATGAAAAAATAAATAAATAAATAACAAACCCAAAACAATGTCCGCTAGGTCTTTAATCAAATGTCTAAGACACTTTAAATGAATGACTAAATTATCCCCACAAGCATTAAATGAAATATCGAAATAGCCCCTCATAAGTTCAAAACTAAATATGTAACACTGTAGCACGGACACTTCAATTAAGATAGCGTGTCTGTTTCCGACATGTGTCGATATCAACACTTTTCAGACACTTTATCATAAATATTTTTCATTTTTTATTAAAAATATTATATATTTTTAACTCAAGATTATTAGTAAATAACAAATAGGTATTCGTATTTAAAATATTTAAACAAGAAAAATTAATAACAAGTATAAAATTAAATTTATACTATATAAATGAAGAATTTTAAAGAATTTAATCAATGTGTCAGCGACGTGTCGTGACGGTACTTTTTTGAGAAATTGCGTTTCGACGCATCTGACCGTATCATGTCGGATATACGTGTTCGTGTTAGTGCATCGTAGATAGGTAACCGCAGACATAATTAAAAGAAGTAAAACAACAACAGAAGTACCCGGTCTGGAAAAGGCAGCGTTCATGTCTTCTCTGTTTCCCCTGTAGTGTCCCTATGTGCGTGCCTTCGGGTGATTGACACTGCTCATAGAATGCTTGGGCTTGGTGGCTGCATCAAGTAGGTGTGACTAGTAACTTGAAAAAAGAAAAGTTGAATAACACATTCCCAACTCATAAAATTTCCATCATCTCCAATGTCTTTCAAATGCTTCTGCATTTCCCAAAAGGTTCCCTCAACCATTCACCTCAAACCACCCTCTTAATTGTAAAGAAACAAAGATTCTTCCGTCTTCCTTAGTTACCTTCAATAAGGTAACCTTACGTAGATACATCTATTTCCTTTTCTTTTCTTTTATTGTTTGCTATTGTAATTTTAATGTGTATTTCATTTGATTTGATTTTATAATGTTTTATTTAATTTTTTAAAGTTGAAGAAATTAGTTAGGGTTTAATAGGATTCTCATTAATATATTTTATATATGTGTATATGTTAATTAATTCGCGCAAAACTTGGTATATAAACTTAATTTCCTATGCGTGTATATGTCTCTCCTCTAGCGGCTTCGGTTTTCTATGTATATGTATAGATAATAAAGGTAGCAGGTAATTCTAGGTGTATATATTGGCTCTGTGTTTTCCCCGAATAGCTACCGATAGCAACAACCTTCATTTTCTTCTTCTTTTGCTCAGTTTCTGCGTGTATATCTATATAAAATAATGGCAGTCGGCCAATGTTTTACTTTCAAGTGGACTATCTTATGTATACGTGTAATCCTCCTTTTCCAGCCTCCAATGTGTGTAAAAATGTGTAATATTGGCTGTCCCTCTTTTTCTGTAGGTGTGTATATGTAACATATTCTTGACTACCTCCAAATATGTGTGTAAAGTATATTATATGGGTTGCCTTCCTTTTTTTCTCCAGCATGTACATGTTTATCCATCAATATAACCTAACCGAAATTGTTGACTCCAATTCAAAGCCATTAACCTCGCCTCATATAAACCTATATAGATTATTTATGATGCAGTTGCACTATTAATGTGCAGATCAGTTTGTGCACGATGAGAAGATAATTTCGGATACATGAGAATTGCCATCTTATCCTTATTTTCAAGTTGAAGGCTAAATGCGTGGAAAATAAATTAGTTGTAAACATTACTATTTACTTTTTTGTGTTACACACATACACATGAATAGAACACACATCTACAAACAGCTCCATACTATCTTTAAAAGAAAACTAAATTTGAAATTGAACTTTGTGATCACGCATTAGATGCTAATGTATTCACAGATCTTAGTCATCATTTCAAATGTAGTTCTAATTTCAATGTATTGTATTCCGTTGAATTTGTATGCAATGCTTTATGAGTACCTATTCAATTAGATAGCAAGCATCTTCAATGGTTACTTGGTTTTTATTTTTTTTCCTGCAGCCTTTTTTTAGTTGTTTTTTTTTCTTACGTTCTCCTAATACTTTTTTATGTGTTTTTTGTAATTTGTAGATGACTTCCTCACATTGATACAAAGTACTAGAGGAAGATTGCATCCCGACGCAGGTTTCACAAGTCAACAACACGAAATACATAACAGTTGTCCTCGATAAACTCAATGCATAACAAAAGCATATGGTCAAGGAAAGTTGCATAGGATATGTTGCCAAATTGTCGAAGCTAAAACATATGGGCAATTAATTCATGAAATGGTGAATAGATTCAAGGTAAACCAAATGAATGCACAATTTAGACTGCCTGAGTTTGCATTAATCATCAGGTTGAAGTGTGGTGAAGTATCGAAAGGTGAGAATTCGAACAATATCCTAGAAAAAACCAGACTATGGGATAATTTGTTTACCCATAGAGATCGGATAATGTGTACTGACCTAGAGAATGTTTTCCTAAAATATGCCCAACCTAATGACTGTTTCAAACTTGGGTTGGCACCTCAATTGCAGAAACCAAAATATGGGGATACATCCTGAAACTCTCTCCATTTTGGATAACTTGGATTTCTTCAATACCTACCCATGGATAACAGCATGTTTCAAACTTCATGTCAACTCAATTCTTTGTGGATGGGGGAGAACGGCAGACTTGGCAAAGGTCACGACTATGGCCGAATGTCTTACACGTTGTACGATTTTCCTCTTGTTGTTCATGTACACATAATTCGTATTTTCATTTCATTTTTTCTTGTCCCACGTTATGTCCACTCTGTATGTAGTAACTTTCATTCTATTTTTCATGAAGTTGTAGGTGTGCGAGGCTATCCCAGAGTTGGGAGCTCGATTCGCAACAAAGACGCGTGACGATGTTCCGAGGATGTTGCGATGGACTGTTACAAGACAGCCTTAGTCCAAAACATATTTAGACTTCTTCGAGAAGACACATGTGAGCATCTTGCATATAAAGTTCCTGTTACAATTTTAGAATGGCTAATATTTCATTTTGACGATTTTGTCTTTCCCTTGTAGGTGAACTTGTGGGCGACGTTGCGCGCTACTGCTGTAAAAGAATTGTAGCCTTATGTTGCTGGTTTGGTTGCTTTACCAGACAAAGTAGACCAAGCTCTGAACAACCTCGTTTAGTCAACAGAAATATAGAATTGCCTATCAGAAGGTGAAGTTATGCACAATGTGAACAACAATTAAGGACAAAAGTCTCAGAGAGGCAACACGACTAGAGTTTGTCTTGAGATTTGCATCCCGTTCAAGATGGAGATGAAGACCATGGTGACCCAATCATTGACCTGCCATCTTTTTCTACCTCATGCCATCGAGCACCGGTGAGGTCCGTGTCTTTAGATGAGATCAGATCTTTCTTGAATGAACAAAGAAAGGCCTTTGAGAGTAGGTTAGGAGAGTTTGGAAAATGATATGGGGGTCCATGTGTACGATTTGAGGCAGCCTATGATTGATGAGGTCAATGTGATCCGACATAGGCTTGATGGAGTGGCTATTGACATTAGGGGACACAATGTCGTCGATAAATATGGTAGATTTCAGGACTACTGCAATGGAGATGTGCCCCTCCATGATGGTAATGATCACAATTTGACGCCACATACGAAAGTGGACACACAGCATCCAAAAGATGCAACCAAAGCAGTTGACTGCCAGACTAATAATGTGTTTAGAATGTTTACGGCTTGGGTTGGATTCGAAATGTCGGTGGATGTTGCTTCAGATAGTGTAATAGACGTTACAAACACTGTACCTATAGTTGCTATCTCCATCGATGCTCTACCGATTGATGATGCCATCATTGTTGAACCGTTGAAGATTGCTGATCTCCCCTACATAGACCTCGATCATCAAGACTCAAGATGCCTAATGCAAACACGAAGACACCATTCACACAATCGGGTCACAAGAGAGGTAAGAAGGATGTGTAATATATGTACACTGCAATTTTTGTATTTTTGTTCATGGTACGGACTGGCTGTCCAACATTTTGTAGATGCAAATCATGGTTTATATGTTAGTGACATGTTTGGAAGGTTGTATGATGAAAATAGTTTATAACTTTATTATTTCCTATAGTTGACTTGCATTGCGCACTAGTAAAAATTCGACTATTTAGGGATGCAAATAACATCTATTTTTTTCAATCGAAAAACACTATAGACTGCATTTGGTTGTAATGACTTCGGTTGCTGTTTAAAATAGTAATTGTTTTGTACTTGGTTGTCCATGGTTTGTAAATATTCTTGATG